AGAGACAGGGTTTCACCATGTTAGCCAGGATGGTCTTGATCTCTTGACCTTGTGATCTGCCCACCTCAGCCTCCCAAAGTGCTGGGATTACAGGCGTGAGCCACCGTGCTTGTCCGGAATTCTTCTTTAAATGGAGTGTTATGAGATATAGTAATGTTGAAATAAAGTCTGGATCTGTCTTTTATGATTAATAACAATTTGTTCCCTCTATGAGGCATTAATCCCATATTATGGTCTCTATATATTTAGTCAGAACATCTTTCTCAGGCTAGATTGTGCTAATTCTAGAAATCCAGAGCAATTGTTTTTAACATATGATACATGGAAGTTTTTTAGCTGGTATACTGGCTTTTCTTAATAGTTATCTAAGATTTTGGAAGCACATTTGTTACTAATAGTAACAATACTGTAATATAGCAATGACATCTTAATCTTACAAATAAACGTGGGGTTTTGGTGTCTGATATGTATCTTGAGTACAGTTATTGGTGGAATGTGGGAAGCTGTAAGCCACTTCATCTAGAGAATCTGTTTAGGGTTTTGAGACTTCTGACATGTTGTCATCTCTAGGTGGGTTCTAATCAAATCTCAACTGTATTATTTTTGCCTTCTCTACTACCATTTGAAAATTAGAAACCGATCCAGTCTTGAAACTGATTGCTTTAGCCAAAGCTTCATTCCTGGTGGAATGGGCTACAGATGGCTTCTAGGCATGTTTCATCTGGCTGAGGACTTTGCTATTTGGTGATATTGATAGTATTTATCTGATGTTAGCACTGCCTAATGCTCTTGAGTGATTCATGGTTAACAGCTTAACCGTGATTTGTAGTGACATGTAGCATCCTGTATGAGGAGAAGGAAATTTGGTGTGTTTTATTAGCGCTTACCACAGGAGGTTTATTTATTTATATTAATTTTTTTAAGGGCCTAGAATGAGGAAAATCCAGTATGTTCTTTTTCTTCAGCAAGATAAATTAGGACTTTTCTTTTTGTGGTGAAACAAACTATGGTAAAGCTGGTAAACTGAATGGAGCCTTAGTGCCTAACATATAGGAGTTACTCAGTACATATTTTTTAACCCTAATTTGTGCAATATGTTTCGATATAAATTGATCTCATTTTTCTCTCACAGTAGCTAGGAACTGGATTGTCTTTATGAAATAGAGAAGTTAAGTGATATATTCAAGTTCAGATAGCAAACTGGTAGCAGAGACTAGATTTTTCTTGACTCTAAGTTTATTGTTTTTCATACTTTTCTCTAAAACATGAACGTTTTGAAAAGTAATATTTCCTTGAGCTTCTACTAACTTGATTTACACCATAGACCACTGAAGTGCGAGATCAGTGACTATTGAAACATTATGATTTTCTAGTGATCAGATAAAAATGGCTGAAATGGTTAAGTGGAGGAGGTTATATGATAGGTGTTGTGTTTGGCCAGAGGGGATGGTTAAGTCAAACCCTAAATCAGAGCATGGAAAGAGGTATTCACTTAGAAGTGTAAAAGTAATGTGTTCATTAGCCCTGAAAGAAAAATAATTTTTTTCTTTTTTTCATATATGGTCAGCCATTGTATTTTTTCCTGTCAAACCAATGTACATTGGTGAGTCTAAAATTTACTATTCAGTTCTAGTTTTCAAATTTATTAAACAAGGTAATGCCACAGTATTTCAGAGATAGTGCCAACATAGCATCCTGCTACATTGTATGAGAAGAAGGAAATTTGGTCCACAGGAGGTTTATTTATTTATTTATTTATGTTTATAGTTTTAAGGGCCTGGAATGAGGAAAGTCCGATATGTTCTTTTTCTTCAGTGAGACAAATTAGGACTTTTCTTTTTGACTGATTACTTCAGTCTTATTTATTGCTTCATGGATACAGCTCAATAAATTTTCACCACTAGATAACTGTGAAGAAGCTGTTTTAGGAACTGAAAAGTGTTTCAATCCGAAGATACAGCCTCTTACATGTAATGGCATTCTAGCTCCTAATCCGCTTCTAAGCTAAACCTGCTCTAATGCGTTGCAAGGGAAATACAGATGTCAAGAACCAAAGTCTTTCTTCCATTAGAACCATTCTTTTTCTGAGGAGAGTCAGTGACAATCCTTGCTATATTTATTTTTCTTTCTTTTCTTAGCTGTAAGAGACATAGAACTTCCACTGCCTCACAGGTCTCTATGATATAAACATGGTATTTCAACTGATCAGATTGCCTCAAGTTAAAGTAAGGCACTCTCTAATTTTATTAAGGATTTTTATTTAGGGGGAAATCAGTTGAATTCTTAATTGATAAGTAACTCTATTACTATTTAGTGAGTTTTTTGGTACAATTTTAGCTTAATTTATTTTTTAATTATCTCTAAGATTTTAACCTGATATACCTTCTCTGTTTTATTTAATTTTTTCAGTTGCAGCTCTCCGTTTCAGAAAAACCTTTATGATATTTTTATAAGACTGAAAATGTACAAGGTTGTTCTTTAGAGGGTGTCTGAGTCTTTTTTTTTTTTTTCTGCTATAACAGAATACTGGAGACTGAGTAATTTATAGAGAACAGAAATTTATTCTCTCACAGTTCTGGAGGATGGGAAATCTAAGATCAAGGCACTGGCATCTGATGAAGGTCTCCTTATATGTTCTCACATGGTGGAAGGCAGAAGGGCCAAAATGGGTGAACTCTGTCCTCATGTTGCAGAGGAGCAGGAGAGAGAACCCACTCCAGCAAGTCGTTTTTATAGCAACCTTGAACCCATTCATGCAAGCTCTGCCCTCCTGACCTAAACACCTCCCCCAAGGCTCTAGCTCTTAACACTCTGCTTTGGGGGTTAAGTTCCCACACATGAATTTTGAAGGGAATAAAAATGTTCAAACCATAGCGGAGGGTTACTTACAACAGTGAGAACTTGAACTACTTAAATATTTATTGTGGAGGTTTTAAAGCACATTTTGTTGTTGTCATAAAATAGAATATTTTTCAGCTACTACATATTGTTAATATAATATAGATCTCTATTTATTGATAGGAAAAGATATTCATGACATAATGAACAACAAAAGGTTACAATGGCATATGTTGTGTGATTTCACATATATAACATTGTATTTGTAAATCTGTATATGTATATATGTAATATAGACATGTCAAGAAGGTATTCCCCCAAATATTAATAATGATGAACTCTGGGTGTTGGAATTTGGGAAAAGTTTTACTTTTTTTCTATATTTTCTGTATGTGTGTGTGTTCTCTATGGTTTGGTTACTTGTTAAAGGAAAAAGAATATTTGTCCATATATTCTTTGTTTGTATATCTTTTAGATTTCAAAACATCCTCTCATTTAAGAGAAGGAAAGCTTAACTATTGTTTAATAGTTTTGGGATTTTATAACCTATACTTTATCATTTTTAATGTTTTATATGATTTATCAGAATTATCACAGGAACTATTGGTAAGACATTAATTGATTACTGGACATTTTAAACTTAATTGGACACTTTTTTTTTTTTTTTTTTAAGGGATTGTTAGCTCTGACTACTGAGTTTTTAAAAAGATATAGAGTTAATTTGGCCCAACTTAAATAGAGTTCTGCTTAGAATAGATTGCTGAGGGGTGTATTAAAAAATTTATTGTGATGTCCCTGATATTTTATGGTTAGTAAAATAAATTGGCCTTAAATGCAATAATAATAATAATTTTCCTTGGATTAAGTTATTTTCATTACTCTTTATATTTATCTCAAATGAAGTAGCATAAAAAATTTGAGTGAATGCCAGTGATTAGAAAATGGCTTTCAGTTTGCGATTCTGACTCAAGGCCCAGTGAAAACAGCAATAAGGTTTAAGAACTATTTTTAGCATTTCAAAAAGCCTGATGAAAATTTTACATTGATCACAGTGAGGCTGCACTAACTAACTAGAAGGCTAAGTGTATTGGCTTTGACAGGAATTTTATTGCCTTTAGGTGGTAAAATTGATTATGTCTCTAAGTAGTAGTTGTTTAATGTTGTTGAGCAACATGCTGATCAAAATATTTGATTTGTTATGTTAATGTTGAATGATTTAAAGAAAAGGAAGGCAGTTTGTAAGACAAGTGGATTTCAGAACCTGGGTTTAAATGTAATATAAATGATAACTGGTAGTGGTAAATTTGGGAACTACTAATATTAGTAATTTGTTTGCTTTGAATAATTATCATTTATCTCTTGACTAAATCTGTATTAATTTTTTTTGGCAGGGTATTTTAAGCCTGGAATATTGTGTGGGTATTATTGGTGGCAAACCTAAACAGTCATATTACTTTGCTGGATTTCAAGGTTAGTGATTTAGTAAAATATATTTCTTCATTGTTTTCTTTTAAAAGTCAGAAAGTTAATATGAGATTATCTAGAAATGGAATGATTAACAGAGCAAAGCGAGTACCTTATACATTCATCAGTCCTGCTTATAGCCACTCATTTGTCATTTAGTCCACAACATAATTAGATTCTGTAAAATGTATGTTTAATTTCTGTTATTGCATAAACAAGGCATAATTTATTGGTTACACTAAACTTCAGAAGACATTGCTGCCACGTTCTGGCAGTTGCTATTTACATATTTACTTTTTACCGGTTTTAGTGGTGCAAGTTGATGATAAAATGACAAGCAATATGTTCTTCCTGTCAAGATAAAGAAGTGCAATACATTTTTCATATGCAAACTGTAGAATATAATTGTGTGTTTGTGAAAGTAATTTTATCACCAAAAATTAAATGACAGTCTCATCACTTTATAAAAATTCTGCTTATACAAGCATATTTGATTATGCAAAAGTTAATCTATCCTGTGCAAACCTATGTTTCAGTCAATGAGTATCAGTCTGGCAAGCTGTTACTCCCAGATTTTTTTCAGCTGTTCTACATAGAAATTGGATTGTAAGCACTGTAATAATAAGGTGTTTTTTGAATTACTTGTCTTCTGTTTTGTCCTTGTAGATGACAGTTTGATTTACATGGATCCTCATTACTGCCAATCTTTTGTAGATGTCAGCATAAAGGATTTCCCTCTTGAGGTACTATGGATAAAGAGCTGGTACTGTTTTCTTACCTTATGAAGTAAACTAATTATTTAGAGATATGCTAGGTAGCTATGCTTTTATAGTATTATAATTACAGGTTATAATCAATATTTTACTGATTTATAGAACCATAATTAACACAGTGGTCAAAGGTTAAGTACTTTGTTGCTGAATTTTAATTTATGATATTTCTTCTTCATTTATCTTTGTTTCTAACTTGTTAGAAACCCTGGCCATACGAAAATAAATGATCAAGTCTCCAAGTAATTTTGTATAACGACAGCTAAACAGTACTGAAGAATTTAAAATGTTAGGCCTGGTTAAAAAAATAAAAGGAAAAATAGAAGGGGATAGGTGGGTTAGAGTAACAAAACGACTTAATGAGATTGTCTGCTAAATTTTTTTGCTTTGAGTACAGTAATTAAATCTTAGCCTTTAGCTAAGAAGCTTGCAAGAGCTTAGTTGGGTTTCTAATTTTTTTTTTCAGTTTTCATTTTTTAATATCTTCTTTACCTTTATATAGGTCATTTTGTGATTCAGTATTTTAATTCAGAAAAATTTGAGAGTACATAAATGAAACATGTAGTTGTTCCATGGTTTTGTTTTCCCAGTTGATGCTTTTATAGACTAATTTTACAGAATAAAATAATTTAAATCACTTGAGTGTCATGGGTCACTAATTTTCAAGGGCTTGATGAGTTGGAAATGTAGTTGAATGCTTTGTTTTAGTAATTGCTTGCTAGCTAATATTAATACCTAATAGTATTTAAGAGGTAGAATATGAAAATAGATAAATCACAGGGTTAAAATCTGGTTTGGAAAGGTACATTATAAAACATTTTGGCATCCTTTGTGAACTAATACCTCAATTAAAGTATAAGCATTCGGAGGCCAGAGTTCATGTCTACTTTCGTCTTTCATAGTATCTTGTGCCTTAATAAATACTTGCTAGTTGACTGATTGATACTGGGGAAGGCACTACAGAATAATTGTGCCATGTGAACCACATTGTAACTCTCTTTCTGTCCTGTGGCCTTGTAGCACTGATTCTTGTGTCCAAGTTACATTTCCAGTAGATCAGTGCCAAACTGACTGCTTATAAACAGTAGGTACTTGAGATTTAGACAGAAAATTGTTCTTAGTAATTTAGTATTACCTAAATAACAAATTAAAAGATTATTGGTCTGATTATTTTGGCCAGTATAAAGTATCCATCTGATATTTTGAGAGACTGCAAAGATATCAAGTGAATGAATATCCTGGTTATGTGTATACAACCAAAATTAGAAATGAGGCTTCAGCTCATTATTGGGAGACTGTTGCAACACTCCAGGAGGGAGTTATTAATAATAAAGGTTTGAAGTAGGCTGGTGATAGTAAAAATGGAAAGGAACAATTGATTTTAAGATTTTATTATGTAAGGTAAAATTTGTTAGAATTTACTTCTTAAATGCACAGAAACATTTCTTATATATTGGAACACTTATGGAATGATTTATAGATGTTATATTTTTGAGATTGTGGTAGAATATCTTAATCTGTGAGGATAATTTCTGTTAGAATTTTTTGTTTTTTGGCAATGAAGAGATTTATTTTAGTTAGTAGCATCACTTGTTTCCCTATGAAAGTGTAATATAAAAATTATATAAAGTTGTACAGGAATAAAATTTCATTTTTGGCTTTTTATCATCTCTTAAGTTGATAATACTCCAATTGAAGGTGTTTTAAGTACCCTGTCTTACTAACCATCCTTGCTTTGCCATACTGCTTATATGTTTACATGCTAGTGAAATTTTGTAGTTGATTAATGTAAAAAATTGTATGCATATTCTAAAACCACCCTTATACTTCAATTATTAAAATCACTTTTGTAGGAAACTTTTTGGATCAGTATTTTTTTTGGTTAATAGATGGAGAAATTGAAATCTTAAATCATTGGTTGATTCCACATGAATAATTGCTGGTAGTCCTCTGAAAGTGCCCTAAATCTGATAGACTGTGAAATTTTAAGGAAGTAGGTTGATACCAGAATATTTGAGATTGAAGAAGAGATTTAAACAGATTGCATCTTTTGTTGTTCTTATGATGTTGAATTCCTACATTTCTAGAATAGAACTGTTAACATTTTGAAACCAAATCAGACTAATTTCTTTCTTTTTTAATGAGCTCTTTAATAGGTACAAGGGACTGTCCTAATCTCTTTGGAGTCCTCTGTTGAAATCTTTTTTTCTCTGTGGTTCCAAGTGCTTTGATTGTATATGTTAGTGTTAATGTTTAATTCTTGTGACATTTTCTTCTGAAATAAATTGATATATATTATTGAATTTCTATACTAACTTTTAAGAGACTTCCTCATTTTTAGCTGTCTTCACTGAGTTTTTAACACATTGTGAAGTGAACATAGGCAGTTACATTTGGATCCTGAGTGTAGCAGTGAAGATATGCCAGGTTAGGACTGAGGAATGGAGCACATGGTTCACTGTGAAGGCAAATTATAATGAATAAACTCACACTGTAATTTTCAAACAGAAAATGGGGTTGAAAGGAGAGCATGAACAACCTTAAACAAAAGTCATCAAAGAACAACTTGAAATTAGAAGGGAATGAGAAGAGAGCTCAATTGGGCTTTGGCAGTGAGGGTATGTAAGAAAAGCTTTATTAATAAACATGTTAGTTTGTTCTGATTACTGGGTCCCCAATTCCAAGTGTCAGATTTTGGGAGGTTCATACAGTGATAACCGTTTTAATCTCTCTTGGGAAATTCAGAAGTAGTGGCAGTAAAGCTATTAGAATTACGTGATTTGGGCATCTAGATAGATTGGATGAGTGAATTCATCAGTGAAAGATAATACCCTTTACAAATTATACATGTGAACTGCAGTTAGTAGAAGTTTTTTTTGTGTTGTTTTTTGGGTGGAGGATAGAGTCTTGCTCTGTTACCACTCAGGTTGGAGTGTACTGTGCAATCACAGCTCACTGTAGCCTTGACCTCCTGGGCTTCAGCAGTCTCCCCACCTTAGCCACTCAAGTAGTTGGGACCACAGGTGTGTGCCACCATACCTGGTTAATTAGCAGTAGGTACTTTTTAGTAAGGATATTCGCTAATTAACTGTCATAGGAAGCTTCATCTAAATCACCAAAATAGCATAGCTGTACCTACAAGCTTATGTTTCAGTATTGTTTTTGTATGTTTAGATAATTAGACTTCACTATTCTAAACAATAAGCCTAGAATAGTGCCTGTCATTTTGTTAGGTGCCTAATAACTATTAAGGCAATTAGTAAATAATGTATCAAAAATGAAATGAATGGGAATTGATTTTCCCTGGCCAGTTTTTCCAGAAACACTGTTACAGAAGTATATCTAGTGAATAATCCTTAAAATGTGTTTGTCAAGTAGAAGCTACTCCTCTTACTAATCATTAGAATTTTAAAAATAAAAAAACTTAAGTGCATAAGCTGAATTAGGAAAATATTTGAAAGTTTAACTTGTTCTGCAATAGACAATAATTGTGAATTGTAAGTTAATTTGCCTTAGAATCTTCTTGAGTGAACAAAATAATATGACTTTAGTTTAAATGGCTGGGTGCAGTGGCTCACGCCTGTAATCCCACCACTTTGGGAGGGCGAGGCGGGTGGATCACCTGAAGTCAGAAGTTAGAGATAAGCCTGACCAACATGGTGAAACCTTGTTTCTATTAAAAATACAAAAAAATCAGCCGGGCATGGTGGTGTGTACCTGTAACTCCAGCTACTCGAGAGGCTGAGGCAAGAGAATTGCTTGAACCTGGGAGGCAGAAGTTGCAGTGAGCAGAGATCGTGCCATTACACTACAGCCTGGGCGACAAGAGTGAAACTCCATCTCAAAAAAAAAAAAAAAGTTTAAATGATATAAAATGCCTCTCTATTGTATGAATCCCAGTACTCACGCAACAATACCCAATAGCAGTTTCAGTGATTAGAGATTTATATCTGTGTTTTTGTGAATATTTTTAAAGTTCTTTGTAGATATTAAAACAACCATGAATAGCAATTTAGTATTTGTTCTTATCTATGATGATTGAGTCAATACAGTAAGTTAGTAATAAGACTATTGTGGTTTAGTATTATTGGTTCCTACATGAAAAGCTTTTCAAAATTAAAAAATTTTTATTTTCTAGAGACAGAGTTTTGTTCTGTCACCCAGGCTGGAGTGCAGTGGCACCATTAGAGCTTACTGGGTCCTCAAACTCCTGGGCTTAAGCAATTCTCCCATCTAAGCCTCCTAAGTAGCTGGGACTATATATAGGTGAATGCTGCCATACCTGGCTATTTAAAAACTTTTTTTTAGAGATGGAAGTCTTGCCATGCTACACAAGCTGGTCTCAAACCTCTGTCCTCAGGCAATTCTCCCGCCTCAACCTCCTGAGTTCCTGGGCACAGGCATGAGCCTGGCTCAAGCTCTTACATGAAAACTTTTATCAGTGCTTCAGTATAATATAGGATACCCTATTAAATGAGTTCAAAAATATATTATTAGACTGCGTACAAACTTTTTGGCCCTCCTTCTTATCTCCAGGTAATAAAAAAGTTAAGAAACATTCCTTGGTATTGTCTTTGGAATGAGCTGGGCAAATGGTTATTTATAGACACAATGTATGTAGAATAAGTTATAAATATGATCTAGAACTGTGCCGTATACCCTAATATACTCATACTCTTGGAAATTGTTAACTAACAAGTTTGTTTAGCTTTTCTATGCTTTTCCAGATCTGTTTTAAATATTTCTTTGCAAACGTAACAGGAGGAACAATGTTAGGAAAAGTCCAACTAAGATTATATTTGTGTTGACTAGTGCCATGGAGGTTCTAGTTTAGTTAGGTTGAATCTCACTATATAAAGTAAGTTAGCCAAGCATTTTGCAGAAGTCATAGTTTTGTAAACTCATTTTTTGGCCTTTATTAACTTGACATATTGTTGGATTCGAATCTACTATGTAGTTGAACTTTTCATTGGGAAAAAAAGCAGCTTGAATCTGTACATTTTGCCTGCCTTTTGGTGATGATACGGGATACAAATTGATACGGGTCACTAGTATGTACAGGGAGAGAAAAGAGTGATTTTAGTTGATCTCACCATGAACATAACAAATATGACAACTTATTTTTTCCACATTTTAATAGATAGTATCAAGTTAAAAATCCCTTAGTTTTAGACATTGAATGTAGGGAAACTATAAATTTATGAATTCAAGTCCAGCCTACATTTTTTCTTTCTTTCTTTTCTTTTCTTTTTTTTTCTTTCTTTTTTTTTTTAATGGAGTTGGAGCCTTGCTCTTGTCCAGGCTGGAGTGCAGTGGCATGATCATATCTTACTTACTTCAGCTTCACTTCTGTGCTCAAGCAATCCGCCTGCCTCAGCCTCCCAAATAGCTGGGATTATAGATGGGAGCCACAGCACCCACTTCCTAGATTATTTCTTAATTGAGCTTGTTCTTTAATTCAAAAATTTTTCACACCTGTCTCCCATCTGCTCGGTTCTCTCCCTTTCCCACAAATTGGCTAATTTTTGTATATCCTTAGTTTATTTATACAAATATGAATACGTAGTCTTATGTTCTTTTTAACACAAACTTTTTTTCTACATACAGCAAAGGACTTGGTCACATCAGTGATTTTTAAGGACAGGCTAAGCATTTAAGCATTAAAAAAATATTTTAAACATAGTACTAAAGTGTGATTGTGAAGAACAAAAAGATTGCAGTGATTACTTTTATATTCTGCCCTTTTTCTACTTTTGTATTCCCTAAAGATGCCAAACTCTACTAATAGCCAAATCCATTAGCAAGACAGTAGAGAAACTAGGGCAGCCTACCCAGCCCATTTGTATCTGTGGCACTGTGACTATTGGAGAAACATGAACTAAAGAGACAAAAGGACTGATGAGAAGGAGGGCAGGGACCATAATGGAACGGGTTTCACCTGTTCCAGCCTGTTCCCTGAGAACAAATGAGAATTAAAGCACACTAGAAGGTTGAAGAATATGCAGTTATGTACTAATTGTATGAATTGCTAAAACCCTCAAGTTGACCTCTTTTTATGTCAGTATAGAACATTTACCTGAATCTGTGTATTTGTTTAAAAAGTCTTGATATCTTTGTTAAAAGGTTTATAAACATTAACCCTAAATCCCCAACAAAACAGACTTAACTGCAGTTTAATAGAAATGGTTAACTTGAGTCTAAGTCTTGTACTAGCCTATGCATGCCTTTTTCATGTTATCAGGTGTTAGAAATGCATACCGCTTTTGACACACTTCCTTTCTTTTGCAGAGTGGCACAAATGTCACATAAGGTTGAGATTTGGTGAATTAAATATACACAAATGTTGGCTCTTGTATTTTACAGCTTTGCAGAATGGGGAGGACCATCTGCATAGGATGAACTAAAGCACCCTTTGGAAATCATGTTTATAGTTATGGAAAAAAGCTAGATAAAAATTTTAAATAATAGTTTTATATATGCTTATCTATCAAATAAAGATAAATTAATCCTAAAGAACTTTTAAAATTACAGACATTCCACTGCCCTTCTCCCAAAAAGATGTCATTTCGAAAAATGGATCCTAGTTGTACAATAGGATTTTACTGTCGAAACGTTCAGGACTTCGAACGAGCTTCTGAAGAAATCACCAAGGTACCTTTGTTTAAAATATTATTATAATATTTGTAAGTGACCTAATTTTATGAGACAGCCTATCAGAAGGCAAAAACCTGTAAATTATGATATTTTTGTAAAATTTCCTCTTGAATGTTATTAGGAGTCTTGTGAACTGAAAAATAAAGCTATTTGAGGAATCTTAGTGTTTGAACTAAGTGAAGTCAACTAGTGACCAGTTGAAAGTATTGATTGGTCCACTAGGTGGCACTGTTGAAATAAAAATCCTTTTGCAAACTGTAGACCGGTGCAAGCAATTAGGTTATATTTTATTTGAAGAAGATTTTAAAAGGGCAATCCCTTAGGGGTAGAAAAAAATTAATGAAGTATTTGATGAAGCCAAATTGTGCATTATTTCTTGTTAGTCCAAGTGCTTCTTTGATTTTTTTAAAAAGAGAAATGGTATTTTTGTATTTCTCAGAGCTGCTTTATCAAATGAGCTGTGTTGTTACCTTCCAATAAGCTTGTCTAATCTATTCTATTCTACTTATAGGATTGTTGAAAGAGGTTTATTTAACTTCTTCTCATTATGTTTAAAATTCTACCTTTTTTTGGTCCTTGAGTACTGCTAAAACATTTATGGAACCTTAGTATCTGTCTATATTTAGTACTTCAGAAAACAAAAAAAGGCTACCTTTTAAAGAAGGAAGGATAGTTGGATAGTTTTCTTCATTAGTATCAATAGTTAGGCTATCATTTTATGGTAAGTAAGACGTAAGACCATTACTAGTCATTTTTCGGAATTCTTT